CGTCAGACCCAACAAAGTATATATATTCTTGATCAGCGTAAAATTCTAAGACGATTTAGCGATGTCCGTCCGTCTGTTGTAATCACGCTATCTTTCGAACGAATTGAGATAGAAGGCTAAAATTTTGCACACATGTTTTGTTTTTCCAGTAGGCAGGTTAAGCTCGTAAATGGGCTATGAAGGTCCACGTTTTCATATAGCCCCATATAACGGCACCTCCCGATATTCGGTATTTTGATGATTTTAGCAACATTATCCACCGGAATTGTTTCAAATGTGGTATTTGAAGTTCGAAATGGATACTAGAGCCTAAGACAGAAAATTATCTGTGCAGGTCCCCGTCTTCGTATAGTCCCCATATAACGGTACCTCCCTATGTTCGGTATTTTGATGATTTTAGCGAAATTATTCCCCGAAATTGTTTCAAATTTGGTATTTGAAGTTCGTAATGAGTACTACAGCATAAGGCAGAAATTTGTAGGTGCAGGTCCACGTCTTCGTATAGCCCCCATATAACGGTACCTTCCGATATTCGGTATTTTGATGATTTTAGCGACATTATTCACCGGAATTGTTTCAAATTTGTTATTTGAAGTTCGTAATGGGAACTCCAGTCTATGACAGGAAATTGTCTATGCAGGTCCAGGTCTTCGTATAGGCCTCATATATCAGTACCTTCCTACATTCGGTATTTTGACGAATTTAGGTACAAAACCCACCGAAATTGTTTGACATGTCGTATTTGAAGTTCGTTATGGATGCTACAGCTTGTGACAGAAAATTGGCTATGCTGGTCCAGGTCTTCGCACAGCTCCGATATAACGGTGCCTCCCTATATACGACATTTTGATGATTTTAGCTACAATATTCACCGTGTATTTCAAATTTCGAATTTGAATATGGTAATTGCTTATGACAAACAATGCCTATGTAGGTCCATTTCGTATAGAACCCAATATAACGGCTATATTAAGTATTTTTAAAATTTTAAGGATTTTATTTTTTGAAAATTTTCAAATTTGTTTCAAATGGTGGAGCGTTTTCAAAGTTCGGCCAGGCCGAACTTACTGCTTTTTAACTTGTTTATTTTAAAAAGCTCATTTTTGCGGCTCCTGATCTACATCTCCCTTTGCGGAATCAGTAGAGACTTTGAGCACTAGTTGTCAGAATCTTTAAGTTCATTTTCACGGCACCTAGTCTACAATTTGAACAGTAGTCTTTGTTTAACATATTATTTTCACTGTTATTTGTTTATATTTGTTATAAATGTTATATGTGTTGCTCTAATTCCTTTCTCAATAGTTTATTTTTACCTATTAATTTACCGGCTGATGTACTAGACTGTAGCTGGCACCACTAACCCACCATTCCCGGTCTTTGGTATGTACGCGCTCCCTACGTATGGGGTGCCCCCCCCCCTCCTCTGTCGCCAGGGTGGGAGTGAGAGACGTGGGAACGAACAAAAAAAATATCATGTGGCAAATGCGTCGTTCTATATATTATCAACTTTTTAATTTTATAATATTTCTCTTGTTTGACATTTCAAAACATCTCCAAGGTCAAATAAATGTTTAGCCAAAAAGAGGATAATAGTTGTTCAAATTCTAATTTTTTGTTTTCCCAAAATCAACTCAAATCAAAAAATGTTTGGTGGTCACATTGTGACAAAGAAATATTTGAAATTAATTTTTCTTATGGTTCAGTCTTCCCCAATTGGTCTGGTTCGGATTCTCGCATTTTTTAAAATACCCCAATGTCAGCCGAGCTTATTGAAATACGATATTGATAATCAGATCCCTAAAGTAGTCGTTCTTTGTGATTGTCTTACTGGCCTTAAAGCCTTAAAAATCACCGCAAGCGAACCTTCTTTGTAGACAGAATTAAAGCTCTTGGTGGAAATAGAGCTGCATCACATCACGGGGTATTCCTCTATTTAATTTAATGAAATTGTTCATCAGGCTGCCAAAAGAGCTTGGAAAAATGGGACAAAGCGCAAATAGAATGAAGATCTCCGATGCCGTAAACCTTATAGCTGGTGATTTATGGTCCGAGTGTGAATACGAATACAAACATCGAGGCTTGAACAGCTCCTTTCATTACTTTTCTATCTATCCTGTGGTTCCATAGTACATATTCCGCCCAGCTGATATTAAAATGATAAATAGAATTGTCACAAACCACTCCTTCTGCAATATGAATTTTGAAAGGATGAATGCTGCGCCATCTCCATTATGTGAAACATGTGATGTTGAAGAGAATGTGGATCACATTCTATATCATTGTCGCCGCATTATTACAAATACATAAGTTTATAGGAAACTCAAGATCCACTTAGGACTTCATCAACAAAAACGAAATAGATAAACTACTATTAATGATTGTTTGCATGACGTCAATATTGCTTTATGAATTACCAGCAGATAAATCACTAGTTACCTAGCGGGTTTTCCAGTTAGCTTGTTATGGCGCTATCTGGATTATTGGCGAAATAACTTCATAATGATGTTAGTCGCTGTATTATTTGACATTCTTAATATATAATAAACAAAATTCTTTCGCTCTCGATTCACAATTTCTTCCTTTTTTTGGGAATAGCGCTGTTCATTTGTTGAGTGTATAAGTGATTACAACAACACAAAAGCCGCACATTTGAACACAAATAAAAACACGACAAACCTTCAAAATCGACATTAAATTTAAAATAATGTTTTTCTTTTGAAAATGTTTTTGGCAAATTAGCAGATTCTTATTTTTCGGAATCGAATGACCATGTATAAATTCCAATACAGTCGAGAGGAGTAGTAGGGATTCTATTTTCATACAGATTAGGTTTCGAATCAAAAAATAGTGTTGAAGAAGACGGACAACAGCATCGCATTTGCAAAAAATAAAATATATAACTCCAGAAGTATTCTGCCTTTGTTGTGTGCAAATAAAACACTTGAACATTTTTAATTCAAACTTTGACGCTGACGGTCAATATATTTATTATTTCAAGTTGATGGTGATGGGACCTCATCGATTGTTAATGATCGAGGTTGCTGTCATCTATGATAGGGCATATTCCCAACACGGATTAACTTTCCGCATTTTACACATTTTTCTATCAAGTGTTTTCATAAGTATTTTCTCCATTCTGTGGAATTGAAATGAGGCGATGTTTTGGAAATTCCCCAATTCTTCACATTTTTAAATGGAAGAGTCATTTTCATATTTTCCATACTTGTTCCGTTGTGTTTCTTTACTGTAATTTCGTCTTCTGTCCGTTAAAGAAAAATGTGCAAGTACTTTATCTCTTGATGGTAAATTTAGTAGTGGGATTTGTTTTCGTTGTCCGATTCGATGGTCCCAGGTAAGGGTTCTCCAACCATCCATGCAAATTGTTTTTTTGAGTTAAAATTGATCCAAATGTTTTCATCAGATGTTCAAGTGTGGATATTAATGGCCCTTTTTCCATTTCAATAAAAATCTACAGGTTAACTGACGTTGAATTTCATGTCAGCGAGTTATAATGATGTTACCTCTCGAAGTTGTGACTCATCTTAGTTTTGTGGTGGTAGATTTCAATGTAGACTAGGTATTTGCATCTCATAATTAACAAACAAGATTTCGTTGAAGTCACGGAAACAAATTTGCTTATGCCAGTGACATGAACTAAGTTGTTCATGGTAAGAACTTTAATAGATTTTTCATCTTCTCAGAATTAAAGGTGAATTGTGGATTTCCACCAATTTGAAAAAATTGTATGAAATGTTTTCAGAAATATAGTTTTGGTTTTGTTGAGCATATTTTTATATGGAGAACGTTATATACCAACTGACTTCGAGGTTTAATGAGTCCTCTAGGTAATTTCTTTGAACAAATGTATATTAAGTTCGGTCCCATTTTCTGATATCGACTTTAAGCATCTCCGAAGTGTGAATGCAGTTATTAACAGCGCATTAATTTTTTTGAGTAGGCAAATTTAACAGTGTTTTAATTTCTTCATTCATCCGCATTCTTTTAACATGCCAAAAAGAAATTATCGTTTGTTAGTGGTATATGCCTAATAATTTCTCTAGCTTATTCCAGTGTTTTCAGTGCTAAATGGAATATTTTTTCGACAATGCTTAATTTTGTGTTGTTAATGTAAACTGCTGAAAACAAATCTCTGAAGGTCGGCCATTTCCATAACCACCTTTAAATGTGTCTGTGTCGCATGTAGGTAACCGCGACATAGGTGTGAAATCTACTTCCCTTCCTTGTTGTAAGATTTCTGAACCTCTTTTCATTTTCTCCTTTGTCTTTTCATTCAAAATACTTTGATTTTATCCAATTATTGAACTCATGCAACTTTTTGTATGATTTCAAGTTATCCGTGTAATGCTTCCTCAGCTTATTTTTATGGATTGGCTATGGATTCCCTCATCTTCTGGAATATAAACCTGGCAGTCTTCCACCTGGTGCAATGCAAAGTCCATTTCCATACGTGTTGCTTCCAATGCAAGTGTCATAATTTCTTGATTATTGAAAAATTTTAAATATAATTCGGAAGATCGTTGATGCAGTTTTCAGATTTATCGCTAAAATCATTATCCATTTTGATAGATAAGCGGTAACTTCTACGAAATTTAGTTGTGTTACAGAAAAGAAAGATAACCCAATGAAAAGGACTGGAGTGTATATGTGGCAGCAGAACTCCAAAAATTATTGAATACATATTTAGTGGATTCGTACTAAAATAAAATATATATTCACAGAATGGTTTCCAACTAAATGTGTTTGTGTCAAAGGCAAATAAACAAGAAAAAAAACTTCACAGAACTAAGCCAAACCTTTTCCAATGGTAAGGATATTGGTTAATTCTGTTTGGCGATTAAGTTGTAGCATCTTTCTTGAGGCTGCAGCTTCAACTTTCTTAAGTTTTTGCAAAAATAAATAAAATATAAAAAATAAAAATAAATTTTGAGTAGACAACTTCTTAAAAAAGTCATATATTTCCTAAACAGCGTTTTACTTACATGACAAATTGTGTTGATCTGTGCAGTTATTACTAGAATTCGATACTATACCAACTATACAGTCAGATACTTCATCGGAATTGTAGTTGTTTATTTTACACGATTTCTCGGATTTTTGTGACAACATATTTCTGGCATCCGATTCATTATGGGAAGAATTCGCAGATGCAGAAAAACTGGATGAAGTTGTGAAAGAGTTCCCTGGAACCGTTTGAGCGGTTGTCACTACTCGATGTACTGTAAACATTATGTATGCACAAGAATTTTCCGAAATTTTATCGTTGCTCTTTTAGTTTATTTGAGCTAAAAAAAGACACAAAATATTTATTAATCCATTCAACATATATTGCCTGACTTGTTTGAAGACTATTATATGTTAAACGTGGCATGTTAAAATAGTATATCCAGTTATATATCTTTCTACACTTTTTTAAATAATATGGAATGCTAATATAAAATGCAATTATGCAATTATCAGGAAAGGAATGCATAAGGGGATAAATAAAGAAGAACAAAGTGTAAACCAATGACGTCTGTGCTGCATGATTTATAATTTTTTAATGATATTGTACATTACATTTAAAGTGCACGAGTGCAAAGGCTACACGACCAAGCCTATTAAAATATGGATCTGCTAAAAAATACCAAGAGTAGATTAATATTTGCGCTCTGCGATTGACGCAGCAGTCTCACGCGCTTGGTTCAGATGGGTCATTGTTATTCTAAAGAAAATTTTTTACACCTCTCCCCTGACGAGGATTCTATTCAAGAAACTCACATAAAAATTTCAATTTATCCACATCAGCAGTAAAGGAAATTAGAATACTTGGAATATTTGTCAGAAAATACCAATCAAACGCGTGCCTTATATCAAGAAGGACGCAACAACGCCGAATTATCGAAAGACAGTATTTAAGCATACGAAGCATTGAAGACCCAGTCTACAACATTCAACCACACTGTATTGGTGGGAGATAGAGGGCTCTAGTGCATTTAATTGAAGGATGCTGTCAGATGCTGGCTGCAGTTGAGACATTTTGAACAGATGAGGAAAACATCCAATTCAATATCATCGATTATTTGATGACATGTTGGCAAGTTTTACCAACATGACAAGTGATGTCAGGAAGACTTTTTCTGCCTGCTTTCCTTTAAGCTTGAATTGCATAGTTCCACAGCAACCAGGTACTGACATCGACTTTTGCATAATCCATCGAATTGCCTATTCCAGAGAACATGAAGCAAGCAGATTGCCACTTTTATTATACGATTAAGATCGAGGTACTGCTTGGAGCCGACGATATTAGAGATACAAGATACAAGAGATTCGGATGTCCAAGGGGCTTCTCATATCGAAGAACTCAAAACTAGCGCAGGTTGCAGAAATCGTAACATACTCAATTTTCAAAGAAGATAAACGTTCGAAATATATTGATTAAGTTGGGAAAAAGACGAGGTTTGTAGTGACCATGAGTTGACTGTAGCAGAAAATCACTTCAACCTAAAACAACAGTCAAAGAGAATAATAATAGTTTTGTGTAGTGATAACAGTGCGCAGACGAACCCCAGAAGATATCAGAATCCTTGAGTATGGAAACCCCTGTATCCTTTGCATTGGAGCGTCGATTTATAAGACTGAGAGAGAGAAAATGTGTAGACAGTCGAATCGAACAGATATGGGAATGGGGTAAATCCTCGGACAAAGAACGCAATCGTTATATATTAAATACGTTAGTAAGTTTTAGATTGCCATTGATTTCTCTAGCAGGCCATTTTTTTTAATATTTGTACAATCGTCACAAAACGGAAAGTTACATCTGATTTGACAATATTTTCCGACTCATTAGGAACTGAAGGTCTTGTCGTAAGTATCTTTATTTGACAGCTATAGAAGTATAAAATCGCCTGAGGCGAGAAACTGGAGGCAGAAATAGCAGCATGTCGACATTTGTTCCGAAAAAAATCTTAAATTAAAAAACAAAAGGCATATGGAGAAGTTATGTCTATGCGGGCTTTGTTGCCAGACGGAAGGAACATAAGCTTTATTGTTCAAAATTAGTAGCACAAATAAAGTAGATTACTTTGCCACGGTTAGAAGTGTGTTGCTAAAATGGGAGCATAATATATTACGAAAGTTAAGGCCGAATAGGGCTACAAATATCAAACAACTATTTATTGTTTAAAATCAGAAATTACATAGTTACGAATTAATGCGCAAACCAACATTGAACGTGTTCTTGCCCACAAGGTAAAAAAATATCGAAGACAGATCGTTTTGCTCATAATGGCGACACGTGGAGACAAAAGATATTCCTACACATTTTGCAAAGATTAAAGTAAAAATCAAACATATGTTGACAATAACTATAACCGAAAATTATTGCCTGTCAGCTATAATTGAGAGAATTTCCGAACATGTCAGGCGATGGCAGATCAGTGAGGACTTTCATGACAGTCTTCATGAATCGTTGTTGGCATTGTTGGTCTGGGAATAAAGCCGAAAGAACTCGATCCACTCATGAGTTTTATGAATTCCAAGGAGTTTCAAATAATGGAGCGTTTCATGAAATATTTGAGAATTTGCTTGGAATCATTAGTATCAGTCTTCGGGATTCAGGGGAACAAAAATCAACAGCGACGGGTCCTTCCACAACGGCCCGTAGATGTCACAGGTGAAAAGGTGATTACTGCAAGCAGTTCTTTTGGATGATAGAGTCTAAATGACAGAAATGGGTTGCTAAAAACAAGATGTTTTTAAATTACTCACGGGATCATCCTCAGCAAAAACGTGCACAAGTTTTCATTTTTCTACAACGCCAGATGCAGAAAGCAAGTCAGCAGTGCTGTCATAGAACGACTAGAGCAGAGATTGGGTATCGAACTTTTTCAAAAGTTTATTTGCACAGAAGTTGTTGGCGAAGGAATAATAACCGCAAAACTCAGGGTCAACCTGGAACTTCAGTCGAAGTTCAGAAGCAGGTAGAATCTATTACACTATACATACTTCAACAAATTATTTATTGACAGAGGCAACACTATCAATTATTTTTATCAGTTCTTATCTCATGCTACTGTCATCCAAGTTAGAACATATTGAAAACAACCACATTTACCACATTTAATTTCTGATTGAGTTACAAAGAATTAATGGTCGTATTTAGCCATCTCCGCCCATTACTGAAAATAACTTGACGGATAGCTTCAAGTTAATACAGTGTACGGAAAGTGTTATGAAAAATAGCATCGCGTTAGTGATTTTCGTGGCACCTTACATAATTGTCGTACCCATGTTGCAATCCGGTGGGTTTATTTCAATATCACTGACAGCCAACGTCTATCAGAATTAGTGCATATAAGTCAGAAGCTTGTATCTATGAATCAGTCACCCATCGCCAAGGCAAATGACGCAAAAGGATCAACAAATGTTTATTTTGGCTAAACATGAAACACGTGGATGCAATGACCTGGAACTTTAGTGACTGACAAGATTGCACCCTCAAAGACAAAACCGGTACAATATAAAGTCATTACAAAAACAAAACAACCACACAATCATTAGATCTGAATGATATTCAAATCGGATAACTTCCCCTTCCATTCCTTCTTTTTGGGTTGAGATTGGAGTACACCCCACAGTCCATGTCAAATATAGATTTTAGGCAAGCATACAAAGGTTTTCGAAATACCGCATGCAATCGAACGAATGGACAAAGTATTAACAAATTCACAAAATCGTCGGAGAGATTGGTTTCTATACTGGAGGTGCGTTTAGGGATAAAATCTAACAACGATGTGAAACGCTTTGCGAAAACAAGAGAACTTAGCTATAAAATCTGGAAAGATAGAAAAAAAGGAAAAATTAGATTAAACTCATCGTATTTCGATGTCAGGCAAGAATTTTTATATATTCGCAATACACGATTAGCATAGAATGTTACTCAAATGAAGGGATTTTCTTCAGCCAAGATGAAGATTTAATAGTTTTCCCAAGCTATAGATTTAAATAGAACTGACGCCAAAACTTCCCTACAAGCAATAAATTGAATTTACATGGCGATAAGATTCGACAAATTTGCCAATTTTTTGATTGTGGACAAAAATAGATACTTCTTTGCAGAGAACGGCCCTTGGAAGCCATCATCCACACCGAATTTGGCTGATGAGCCGCTTAAACAACGGCGAAACGCGTCGCATAGTGGTGAGTGTGTGATAAACACATAATCTTCGCTTTAACAAGTCAAAAACTCAACAATAATAAATTTTATTATACCCTCCACCGTACCATTGAGGGTATATTAACTTTGTAATTCCGTTCGTAACTCCTCGAAATACTCATGTCAAACCCAACAAAGTATACATATTCTTGATCAGCATAAAATTCTAAGTCGATTTAGTGATGGCCGTCTGTCTGTTGTAATCACGCTATCGAACGAATTTAGATAGAAGTCTACAATTTTGCACACATGTTTATTTTGCCAGTAGGCAGGTTAAGTTGGTAAATATAGGTCCACGCTTTTATATAGCCCCATATAACGGTGCCTCTCGATATTCGGTATTTCCATGATTTTAGCGACATTATTCAAATTGTTTCAAATTTGGTATTTGAAGTTCGGAACCACATTCTGTGACAGAAAATTGTCTATGCTGGTCCAGGTCTTCGCACAGCTCCGATATAACGGTACCTCCCCATATCTGGTATTTAGATGATATAGCTACATTATTCACCGTTTATTTCAAGTTTCGAATATACATATGCTAATGAATTATGACAAACCTGATTATGTAGGTCCACCTCCACCCCAATATAACAGCTATATTCGGTATTTTTAAAATGTTAACAGAACTTTTAATGGATTTTATATTTTGAAAATTTCCAAATTCGTACTCAAAGTTCGGCCCGGATGAACCTACTGCTTTTTAACTTGTTTCTAACTCGATTCCAAAGTGCGACTAAATCGAAAATTACAATCGATCTTTCTATGTAATAGCTAAGTTAAAAAGTATCAGTCAATTTGTCAGACGGTCGTTATTCCTCAGCCAAATATCGGACAAACCTCTGGATCAAAACACATTATTGTGTGATATGTTGTTTTTATTTGTTGTAGGGACAGAGTCCAAGCATTGGAATAGTTTACCAAAAACTAATATTTATTTATGAGTGGAAAAGTATGTGGATTCAAAATTGAGATCGGTTGGGGAATGCAATTAAAGTTTGATTTGATTTGAAACGTTATATGAACGCAATACCAAAACGGGAACCTATAAATACAATTTTCTACTACAAGGATTGTTACCTATTCCAA